GCAATTAGCCAAATTCAGAGCATGGGAAGTTCAATAAGACAAATGACTTGGTTGCCTCAACAAATCAACAGCATGAATGGTGATATGGTTTGGATCTGGGTCCCCACTCACATCTCATGTTCAATTGTAACCTCCAATGTTAGAGGTGGGACCTGGTAGGAGGTAATTGGATCATGGGGGCAGATTTCCCCCTTTTGTGCTGTTCTCGTGATAGAGTTCTCCAGAAAGCTGGTGGTTTAAAAAAGGGTAGCACCTCCTCCCACCTCTCTCTCCATCCTGCACAGATCATGTAAGACGAGCCTGCTTCACCTTTGCCTTCTGCCATGACTGTAAGTTTCCTGAGGCCTCCCCAGAAGCCGAGCAGATGACTCAGTCGTGTTTCCTGTACAGCCTGCAGAAATGTGAGCTAATTAAACTTATTTTTTTTTTTAAAATAAATTACTTAGCCTCAGGTATTTATAGCAATGTGAAAACAGACTAATACAAATGGAGTGGGAAGGAGGGAGGAATGGTATAGATTAAAAGGGACTTAGGTAACATATCAAACAAATTTCTTATTTGGACTGTAAAAAGATGCTTTTGAGACAAGCAGAGTATTTAAACACTGAGTGGACATTAAGAATACACAGGAACTATATAAGGAGTCATTTTTAAATTTTATTAGATATGTTAGTAGTAATTTGATTATATAAAATAAGAAGAGCCCTCTGTTGGAAATAGGCACTAATAGATGATATTCAGAATTTCCTTTAAAACATTTCAGTGAAGAGGATGGTGAGAATTGCAGGGTAATGTACAGACAAAACAAGAAGGGCAAAATGTAATCATTAAGGCTGTGTGACAGATACTAGGGGGCTGGATACACTATTCTCTCTACTTCTGCATATGTTCAGAATTTTCTATAGACAAATAATAGAACTTAAATGTAAACATTTAGTTTACTATTTTATCACTTTACATTCTGCTAAATTTCTTATTTTCCTCCCACTCATTATGGTGCTATTAACTTCATTCTAAAAATATGTTATGTCAGAAAAAATCAACTATGTTTTCAAATGTCCCTATATGTTACACTGAAAGAAATAGAATTGCCTTATAAAATATTAAAAGACATACAATATTGTGATTTCTTTGTGTGATAATGTTAGCACCAGATAAATCACAAAATTAAAGCATGGAAGATAAGAAAAATCAAGCACTTTTTTTATTTTTTGAGACGGAGTTTCGCTCTTGTTACCCAGGCTGGAGTGCAATAGTGCAATCTCAGCTCACCGCAACCTCTGCCTCCTGGGTTCAGGCAATTCTCTTGCCTCAGCCTCCTGAGTAGCTGGGATTACAGGTACGCGCCACCATGCCCAGCTAATTTTTTGCATTTTTAGTAGAGACAGGGTTTCACCATGTTGACCAGGATGGTCTTGATCTCTTGACCTCGTGATCCACCCACCTCGGCCTCCCAAAGTGCTGGGATTACAGGCGTGAGCCACCGCGCCCAACTTCATATTTTTCTAGTCTCCAAAATGGGCCCCATAGAGACTGCTGTCTCTCAAGCAGAATGAGAGTCAGTTAGTGAAAATGGACCTTTGAAAAATAAACCTACACTAAGCATGGTGTTAGATGTTCCTCTATTCCTCCTACTGACCTTGTGAGATAAGAGATTTTTACAGACAAGGCATCTGGGCTCCAGTGTTAACCTGCTTGCTTGAGGTCCTGGCAAGCTAGATGGGAGAGACAGGCTTTAAATTCAGGCCCATCTGACTCCAAACCCATTTATTTCCCCGTGGCAGCATTAATTCAGCAGAGCCTTTTGATTGTTTGCTTTGTACCAGATTCAAATCACATTAATTACTTCTAATTCCACATTTGTGGATATCCTCTATATCCACATATAGAGGATAATTCTTTTGTGGCAGAGAGGGAGTAGGGTTTTTCAGCCCTGCAGGATGAGTTTTTCTGATATCACAAATGAGGGCTTGCTTTTTTTTCCTTCCTCTGTTTTTCTCCTGGGGTCCCAGACCAGGGTTACTAAGGAGACAAATACTCTTTTAGGAAAAGGAAGGGAGATGCCACAGAACTGTTGACTTAGCAGTGGGTAAGCTGTGATTATTCCACCTTCCCAGCCCTGAAAACAGCCCTGAGAAAGAGAGCTTCGTTTCCTTTGTTCTCTTCCAGCCCTCAGGATTCAGTGCCCCCAGCACCCAGCAGTGGCTGTTAATCTGACGAAGGAGATGGGCACTTAAAGACAAAGAGAACTCCAGGTGTAGAAGAGGTGGGGCCTTTGATTTCGGGAGGGTTAAAGAGAAATTGTTGTGATATTTGTTAAAAATGGCAAGGAGGGCTGGGTGTGGTGGCTCAAGCCTGTAATCCCAGCACTTTAGGAGGCCGAGGCAGGTGGATCACGAGGTCAAGAGACCGAGACCACCCTGGTCAACATGGTGAAACCCCGTCTCTATTAAAAATACAAAAAAATTAGCTGGGCGTGGTGGCGCGTGCCTGTAATCCCAGCTGCTCAGGAGGCTGAGGCAGGAGAATTGCCTGAACCCAGGAGGCGGAGGTTGCGGTGAGCCGAGATCGTGCCATTGCACTCCAGCCTGGGTAACAAGAGCGAAACTCCGTCTCAAAAAAAAAAAAAAAGGCAAGGAAGGCTTTCTTCAAGGCTACTGTAATGGGGAGAGAAGTTGAACTCAACTCAAGATAGAACAGAAACAAGAGGAGATGTGTAGCCAACAGGCAGGTGAGGAGGTGAAATGGAAAGTCACCAAGAAGAACGCGGTTACTATATCAAGGGTGGAATTTTGGATAAACTGCCTTAGCAAGATTTCTATTTTTTAAACTGGGCTCAGCAGGCCAAGACCTAAGGATGAGGCCTAGCTGAAAAGTGGGCTCAGAGGAGCCTGACTGAAGTTCATCCAAGATGGGAGTCCTTGCCAGGAGGAGAAGAGACTCCCAGGTCTGGAGGATCAGAGGAAAGGAGGATGGGTGGAAGGTCAAAGTCAGAGAGGGCAACTGGCCACAAGGGAGTGACCACACGGGCACTCAGAGAGTCAGTTACCAGGCCTGCCCCCGGGAAACTGGGAAAGGCACCTGGAATACAATGGGACAGTACCTGGAGTGGGACCCATAATACAATGCACGGCTCAAATTCAAAATAAAGATCTGCTGTACATATTTTGCCTATACTCTGTGTATGACTAGCGGGCTAACAGTAGGCCCGGTAGGGGATATTGACTGCCCCCTCTTTTCCACACTCCAGATGTAGTGCTAGGGTAGCATTCTCAAAGGTTATCTTATTTTTAACATTAATTGCACTTACTGACTTCTCTCCAGAAAACTCTCCTTAAAGGTGAGTCAGCTGTTTAGAATTATATCTAGACAGTTGCAAACAGCATTCTCAAGTCAGAGGAGAGAGCTACACGCAAAGCGAGGAACTGCAGTTTCCAATCCTCACTGTCATTGGCCATTGGTCCCGGGAGTCTCCAGTCCACAGCAGCTGCTGACCAATATCTAAAGATGAATGAGCACAGATTGGTAGGTTGTGCCTATGTTGATTCTTCTCTTGCTCTCTGTTACTTTAAGTTGTTTAATAGTGGGCAACATTCTCCTGGGAAACTGCTGATGGATTAAAGCATGATGCTTTGTTGAGTGCTGTTGTCCTCATAGGATAAGCCATGGTAAAGCCTGGGAAGTCCCCCTTCTTACCTACTAACAAAAGAAACATGCCACTGAACATCAAACAAGCAGCTCGAGACCTTCATTTTCTTCCGTCAAATCATTTAGAGTTTGTCAGTGAAGCAGATTACAGGGTTAAATCAGAAATCCCACAGGTTCTGAATTCACTGAAATGGATTTCTATTTATTAGCAATGCCTAACTTCAGGGAGTTAATTATGCATTTTTTTTTGATTAGAAACAAATCAGACCAAATGAATGTGGCATTTGAATTAAGTGGAGAGTTTTTTTGTTGTTGTTGATGTTTTGTTTTTTATAGAATCTTATTCCAAGTAGTGCAGATAAGGACCTTTTTCAAATGATTTCTCCCAAAATGCACTTGGTTACTATTGTTTCCAGAGCTAAGCAGAGAAGCTCCAGGGGAATGAAATCTCCCTCCTTCCCACTGTTCTGTTGTCTTTGAAAACAGCAGAACTGCCAAGATCAGCAGTTTGAAAGCTTCCTTTGAAGTGTTCCTCATGCCTTTTTCACTGGCTTGAGCAAAACAAGCACCTAGACTGTGTGCCCAGTCCCCGGGGGGTCAGGCAACCAGGGCAGCTTAATGAGCAATGACACAGTGGAGACAGGGAGCTGCGGGAGTTGGGTCGGATCTGGAGACTCAGGAACACCGGGAAGTCACTATCTATACTTGTCAAAAAATAATGTGGGTCTGGGGTAGAACAGGGATGGGTGGTCAGGGGTGCTGTATCCACATCACTGGCCTGGAACTGTCACTCTGGGACCCAGAACCTTTGTGCTCTCCTTAAAGTACACATTTGATGGGTTGATAGGTGCAGCAAACCACCATGGCACACGTATACCTATGCAACAAATTTACACGTTCTGCACTTCTATCGTGGAACTTAAAAAAAATTTTTTTTTAAGTTCACATTTGTCAAAAGAATAAGATATGCCCCTTAACTTATAACTGTGGAAAAGAGCAATATCTTCCTCATAAATATGAGAAAATGTTTCAAGATGCAATTAGGGGAAAAAATATTTTCAATCTTCTAGGGAATACATGAAAAGACACTGTGGAGATGAACAAAAACCAACTAAATGAGAAATGCAGAGGCTATTTATTCAGAGATTGCAATTGCAAAGGAGTCGGGCCGTGTCACTGTGATTGGCAGAGAATCAAAGGCAGGCAGAGGACTGGGAAGGCTTTTAGTGGGAAACAGAGAAGCTTCTGGTATACCCAAGCTGGAGGCTGTTGGCAGGCGTAGCTGCAGATGGGCTATCTAGGAGTGGGGCACTCACGTGATTGGTCAGGGCATTCTCTGGTTGGTCCTAAATTGGAAGTGGGAACAAAAATTAGGGAAGTTGTCTGTTATTAACCAAGTCCTGGGCACTTGGGGCAGATTGTTCCAGAAGTTATTGTTTACCTTTCTGGATTGTCTGTAGAGATAACAATCTGGTTTCCTGCAAGTCGGACTTAATAGCAGGCTGGCTTCCTGGGTTGTTTGTTGGAGATGAGGGGTTTGATTTCCTGAGCACGTTGTGGATTAGAGCCCTGTTTTTATGTATGGTCTGGCTATTGGCTGATAAGTCATTCAGTCTCTCAACAGTAAGTAACCCCAAACGAGGAGACCAGCAGGTGGGAAGAGGAGCTTATGAGTTAACCCATGTCATTTCTCTAGAAAGAAACTGTAACTGGGATTTCATGAATACAGATTGAAACTGAAATCTATATTTCTTTGTGCTTTATAACTCTCATGGGTATTTGGTTTACTTGGCTATGTGGCTTCTAGATCCACATTCTCCCATGCTTCATGCAGGAGAGACCCGGCACCCTGCTGAATGGGAAGAAAGGGTGCTCCTCTACCCTTCCTCAGCTTGTGGGCTCCAGAGAGCCTTTCCTTTGAGACAAGGGCAACCTTGGTTTGGAAAGAATGGAGAAACATAAATCTTGTCTTTTAAAATAACTTTAATTAGGATTAAAATACCCTAGTGTCTAATGTAGAATGACAGTTTAGCTCTGGATGTCAGTATTTGATCAGATGTTGTCTCAGTCTGCTGAGGCTACCTGCACAAAATACCACAGGCTGGGCGCCTGAAACAGCAGACATTTATTTTCTCACGGTTCTGGAGACTGGAAGAACATGATTGAGGTGCTGGCAAATTTGGTTTCATTCTGAGGCCTCCTTTTTTGGCTTGCAGGTGGCCACCACATAGCTGTGTGACATGGCGTTTCCTCCATGCATGCCCCGAGAGAGAGAAAGGGAAAAAGAGAGAGAGAAAGCTGTGTGGTGTCTCTTTATAAGGACACTAATCCTATTGAATCAGGGCCCCACCGTATAACCTCATTTAAGCTTAAATATATTTTTAAATGCTCGATTTCCAAATACAGTCACACTGGGAGTTAGGGCTTCAACAAATGAATTTTGAGGGGACACAATATTCAGTTCATAAAAGATGTGGACTGAATGTGGCAGACACATTCGGCTGGAAGGTGACGTCCTTTCGGCCTGTAGGTGTGTGGTGAATGCTAATGAGATGACCCCTAAGTTGTTCTTAGCTGACTAATAATTCCTACTGCCCTACAAATAAGAACATAGAAAAATCAAGTTATAGAGTTTTAAGATTTAATGTGTTTTTGATTATGAGACAAGAATCTTCACCTAAGATGTAGATTGATGAAATAATCATAATATGACCAAATCACGAGAAGTTGTAAAATGTAATGGTACTTAAGAGGGTGCTACCTTTTTTTCCAAGATAGTATTTTGAAATAAAAAGATACATAAGTCAATATAAATACGGGCTTTTAAGGATACCATAGGTCCTTAAAGAGAGATGAATTTTTATTAAATACCACCTATCCCATTTAAACTGTCCTGCTGCTTCCATTGGCTACCAAACATTCTTCCTTGGCTACCAAACCTTCCATCATTTTTCATCTTTGACACGCAAAGTCCAAATTCTCTAACCCCAGTCTATCTTTCTAAAATTCTCTCCTAGTTTTTCTTTTCTTTGAGATGGAGTTTTGCTCTTGTTGCTCCAGCTGGAGTGCAATGGCACCATCTTGACTTACTGCAACCTCTGCCTCCTGTGTGTTCAAGGGATTCTAGTGCCTCAGCCTCCCTAGTAGCTGGGATTACAGGCAAGCACCACCATGCCTGACTGATATTTTGTATTTTTAGTGGAGATGGGGTTTCAGCATGTTGGCCAGGCTGGTCTCAAACTCCTGACCTCAGGTATCTGCCCACCTGGGCTTTCCAAAGTGCTGGGATTACAGGTGTGAGCCATGGTGCCCAACCTCTCCTAGTATTTTTATGCTAGTAACAGTAGTAATAAATGTCATTACTTACTGAACACTCACTGTATACTAAGAATTATGGTAAATGCTTTACATGCATTGTTGTTAGTTATAATAAGCATATAAAGTAAATACCAATATTTCCCTTTGATAGAGGAGGTTAAGTAACTTGCCTAAAGGCCCCAGAGTTATTCACCCAGGACTGTCACTCAGGAAGTAGAACTCCTATCCAGGACCATCTGGCTCTAGAGCTCCTAAACACTATATACCTAAACTGTTCCCCACCTGCAGGCATGGTTTTCTGAAAATCTTCCTTTCCTGCTCTTGCTCTCTTTAAGGGTTGTTATGTCGAGTGCTATAGGCCCCCCAAAAGAATATACCCTTAAAATGTTGAGCCAAGTTTATAAAATAAAATGTCTTGAAATGAAGTAGACTTTCCTAAGCAAGACAGTAAACCTAGAGGTCATAAAGGAAAGAAGATAGATTTGATCATATACATTGTTTAAAAATTGTTTGTCTTTTGTCATTTAAAAGACAAATAGTAGACTAAAAAAATTTTGGTATATATACTCAGAAGAGGCAATCTGAGAGTTTTGGAGTTTTCTTTCTGTGCAGCTTTCTCCTCTCTAGTATTCTGCCCTTGAACTCTACCTGCCTTGATCTCCCCAGAATATCAACTTCATCTCTTTAATTTAAGAAATCTGCTGGGCTCTACCTAGATTACCCCTCCCTCTGTCATGGCCTGGAAACACAAGGTTACATGCTGGAGCAATTGTAGGACTCAGTTTACTCACTTAATTTTTTCCTTTTTTCTTAGGAATTCTTCTTCTTCATTACCTGATATCCATTGTCTTGAAAACTGTTGTTTTATATATTTTGTCTAATTTTATAGTTGTTTCGGGGGTAAGGAAAATTATATTTCTCTATTTTGACCAAAAGAGAGAGACTCTAAATGGATCTCTTAACTATATTTAGTCTACCAATCCATGAACATGGTATAAGTCTTCATTTATGTACAGCTTGTTTAATTTTTCTTTGCAAATATTCTTTTAGTTTTCAGTGTAGAGGACTTCTGGCTATTGTTTTAGATTTATTCCTAGGTATTTGATTTTTCAAAATGTTTTTCTGTTGCCCTTTATTGTTTCTAGCAGATCTATGCTTCTATCTGGTAGCAATTCCATTGGACATGAAAAACTTCTTTTTAACATTTCTTGTGCTGGCTTGCTGGCCATGAATTAATTCAACTTTTATTTGTCTACAAATGTTTGGCTTTTAAAAAACTATGATTTTGTAGCTTTTCACACTTGTTCTCCTTGTCAGGGTCTCTATAACATTTAAAAATACTTTAAAGCAACTTATTCTAAAACAAAATCTCACATGGAACCTGAATACATAAAACAGACCAAACCTGAATATCTTGGCTAAAACATATTTGATAGGGGCTGCCAGAGGGGGAGGACGATGTTCTACAGATGTTCTCATTACTCTTTGCAATGTCTACTTGGAGAAATTTTTGAGTTGTTTGAAAATTTTTGGTCTGATTATTAAGTGTAAATCTCTTGTTTGGGGGCCCTGGTCTTTACTGTATGGTTTGGCTTTCTCTTTTTTCGATGTCTAATAGTCTCTTTTCTTCTTACATGCCTCAGCTTATGTTGTTCCCTCTACATAGGATGCTTGCCTGTATCCCAATTTAAATCGCTTACCCTGGAGGATCCAGCTCACCCTTAAGAATTTCTGCATCCTCAGAACTTTTATGGCCATTACTATTTGGGTCGTACAAGTTAGACATAATCTGCTGTGGTACATCTTCTCCTCGTTTGGTTAGGGTTACTTTTGCTTTGCTAGCTGAACATCCTTCCTTCCAGATAGGGACTATGTTGGAACTTTTCCTATGTCTTATTTGGGGCTGGGAAGGATAGGTGAGCTATGAATATTTGCTGTTATCACCACTCTGGAAGCATAAAAACCGTCTTTTGATTGAGGATTCTATGTGAACCAAGATTGTCCTGTGTTCATGGATTAACATCTTTGTCTTGAAGCCCACATGACTTATACTTAAAATGAGTCAATTTCAGATCCCTGTCAGCTCTTCTGAGCCAGGTGTCTGTCTTTGTTTCCACAGCTATGCCATGGGATATTGGCTCCAGGTGTCCTTTTAGTTAATAGTGATGCCTGAATACTCACCATACAGACATTTAAACTGTCCTGCTTCTTCCACCCTTTATCCCCTGAGCTGGTCAGGTGCCGCCATGCTAGCCTGTGCTCCATCAAGCCTTGCCTCAGTGGGGTAGACTGGCTGTGTTCCAGAGCCACACTTCACTAGGATTAATGTGACTGTAAGAGGCGCCAACCGAGAGTGTGTCTTTTCCCTGATATGCACCGAGCTGTCAGCAACACAACTGGCCAATTGCAAGGTGGCACCCATAATATCTAGGCAGGCTCTCAACATGTAATTGTGAGGATTTGGAATTAGTATGTTACTCTTGATTCAGCTTGATTGCTTTTCCCAGAAACAGCTATTTCCAGGCAGACCAGACCCAAAGAGATTTCTGGGAGATGTTTTGTCTTCAGCCCCAAGGAAATTGTAGTAGTTTTACCTTTCCCTTTTTTGAGGTAACTCAGCCAGCCCTTTTCCTCAAATATTTTCTTTTTGAATCTTGGGGGTTGTTATGGTGATAACAATACCTACCTTACAGCATTGTTATGTACTAGCTTCTTTAAATTCTATGGACATTCTTCAATATGCATGTTTTTCGAGGCCTTTTCTGCACATTATGCATCTTCTTTGTGCATGTTTTATGAATTTTCTTCAAGCCCTTTCATAAGGTAACTTGAGGCCAAAGCAATAAAGAAAACACATAAACACCAACAAGGTTGTTTTCTTTAAAAGGCCCAGACTTTAGAGAGGCCAGCTCCAAGTTCTGAGATCACAGAGTGAATTTTCATTGCAGCATTCTGATTAAATTAATGACACATCTAGAGTAGGGGTACATGGGCCCTGAGGTTGCAAGCATTTGAAAGCTACATATTAAGAGACCCAAATATAATTTCATTGTATTTCCAGGGGTGCACTCAACTACAATTTTCATTCATCAGATTTACATATCTTCCTCAAAAAAACCAAACTTCCACTGTGTCTTTTGTAGTGTTAAGCCTGTGCCTTCATTCTGATTTCATTAAATAATTTGCCCAGTTGGCGTTCTGTAGCTCTGAGCTTTACACTGATAACAGCTAAAACTGAAAACCTACTCAGTAATCAGGTGGTAGACTGGGACTGTATTAACAACTCAAAATGAATGTGTTTGGGA